TTCGACTCTTGATCGCGGGGTAATGAGTTCAAGCCCATGTCAGGTGTACTTAAATAAACCTTACAAGAAAAAACACACATGTGTTATCCTATGTTTGTCACAAACGTCTCATTTACACATCCAATGTAAAATATGAGGTGTTAGCAATGATATCCTGCTGGGGAAGAACAGAATAATATATATTTATTTATTAAAGGCCTCCCACCCTGGCTTCCCAAATTATCCATGGCTCCTAATGGATTGTTTACAACGGCAAGTGGACCACCCAGGAGGAGTGGAAAAGCTGGCCGGACTAAACATACAGATGTGTTTTCTGCCTACTCGCACCTGTCAAATGAGAAGGATATAGTCACCATTAATACAACATTCAAGTCAAACTCCAGGGGGCGACCGGGGCTCTGGGCCACTGAGGAGGCTGGCTGGGAAGCAAGGAAGCAATCTCACGGAACACCTTAAGCTGACACTCTACCACCAAAACATTCACCCAAATTAGCAACTTCCCAGGGGTTTACACAGATAATTCTTATGGAAGAAATGGTACCAAATATAAGAATATGCTCCTGGTGATACAGGTGACAGTTTAGGATCATAGGCAGCCTCTGGAGCATCCTTAGAAAAGAATCACCACTGGATATTCCTAAATTACTGAAGACATACAAGGCTGATGTACACCCTTACTAACCGTGATATTGATTCATGAGAAATCCATAGTTGCTTTCCGTCCACAGCTCCTGGCTTACAACTCCCCAAACCCTTGTTATTTCCTGTTGTCCTCAGTCCCTGGACACCCTTTAGAGCCACAAAGGTAAAATGGGTGTCTCATGAGTCTTTTTTTTTTTTAATGTTTTTCTAATTCTGAGAGAGAGAGAGGCAGCGTGAGCAGGGGAGGGTCAGAGAGAGAGGGATATACAGAATCTGAAACAGAATCCAGGCTCTGAGCTGTCAGCACAGAGCCCGATGCAGGGCTCAAACCTACAAACCGTGAGATCATGACCTGGGCCGAAGTTGGACACTTAACCGACTGAACCATGCAGGCGCCCCTGGTGTCTCATGACTCTTAATGAGCCCCCTGAGGAGGGAGCTGGTTGCCAGGATCCAACTGTGTGATCAGAGGGCTGGAACTTCCAGTCCCACCTCCCCAGTTTGGGGAGGGGCAGAGAGCAAAAGATTGAACCAATCACCCATGGCCAATGAGGTGGTCAATCATGCCTGTGCAATGCAACCTCCATGAAAACCCCAAAGGAGGGGGTCCGGAGAGCTCCCAGGGGACCCAGGACGCATCCGTGTGCCACCATGCCAGGTCTCAAACTCCATGAGGACAGAAGCTTCTTTGTTTGGGACTTTGCCCTACGTATCTCTTAGTCTGGCTGTTCATTCATATCCTTTGATATCCTTTGTAATAAATCAGCAATCTAATCAGTAAACAGGTCCCCTGAGGTTTTTGAGCCATTCTAGCAAACTAATGTTACCCGGGAAAGGGGCCTCGGGAACCTCTGATTTTTAGCCAGTGAGTCAGAAGCACAGGTAACAGCCTGGGCTTATGACTGGCAACAGAAGCGGAGGGCAGTCTTGTAGGACGGAGCCTGTAACCTGTGGGAGCTGCCACTGTCTGCAGGTAGACACTATTACAATGGGCTTGAACCTGCAAGGCGCTCAGTGGGTGTTAAAGCACTGCTTGGTAGCAGCCTCCCTACAAACATACGTGTTGGAAGCTGGGAACAGAAACCCTTCACCAACTCTATCACTAAGCCTTCAAGGTGCTTTTTAAAAAAATGTTAGTTTTCAGGGGTGCCTGGGTGGCTCTGTCAGTTAAGCATCCGACTCTTGATTTTGGCTCAGGTCATGATCTCACCCAAGCCCTGCGGCAGGCTCTGAGCTGACGGTGCAGAGCCTGCTGGAGATTCTCTCCCTCTCTCTCTGTCCTTCCCCCATTCACATGCACATGCACGCAGGTACACTCTCTCTCAAAATAAATAAAAGAAACTTTTAAAAAAATGTATTAGTTTTCATGGCACCTGGGTGGTTCAGTCAGTTGCGCATCTGACTCTTGATTTGTGATCCCAGGGTTGCGGGATGGAGCCCCACATTACATGGAGCCTGTTTAAGATTCTCGGCCTCTCTCCCTGCTCTCACTCTCTCTCTCCAAAACAAACAAACAAGCAAAATTTAAATTTAAAAAAAATATTCATTTCACCTGGTTTGCTAATTTCAGCTACAAACATCTATAAACTTTTTTAAAAACATCAATGAAATTTTTAACAGTAAACAAAAATAAAATAGTATGGTGAACTCCAGGTGCCCATGAGTCAAATTCAGTAACACTTGAGCCCTGATTTATTCCCCCACAATTTTCCTTCCAGACATGGTATCATTACATTCATAAATAGTTTGTATCTACGAAAGGTAAGATTTTCCAAAAAACAGCCCCAAGACCAATACTGCCACTAAGAAAATTAATGATGATGCTAGTAGATTTCATCTACTATCCAGTCCCTCTTCAACTTACCCTTAATTTTTTCTTTTTTTTTTTTTTAGGTGTTTCTCTGTGATTCTGAGTTCCATGGAGACAGACAGAGCAGCCGGCATACCTCTGCAGATCCCAGCATTCAACAGGGTTAACTTATAGACAGAAAATGCTCCGAAGTGTTTCTGAAAGGGTTCATGCTCATCTCTCAAAAATAAAAACCAAGATGCACTTCTGTTTACGTGGATCCCAGGAATTGGGAGTGAACAGATACAGATGTACATGTATAGAAGAGGGCTGCCATCTTCCTTTATCAGGCACAGAAGGCCTGGAGCTGAGTTCTCCTGAAGGAGAGTAATCTCACATGTGGGAAAAAGAAGACTGGAACTCATCGATTCTTTTTTTTTTTTTTTTTAATTTCTGAGAGAGAGAGACAGCGTGAGCAGGGGAGGGGCAGAGAGAGGGAGACACAGAATCAGAAGCAGGCTCCAGGCTCTGAGCTAGCTGTCAGCACAGAGCCCGACGCGGAGCTCAAACCCACAGACCGTGAGATCAAGACCTAAGCCGAAGTCAACTGCCCAACTGACTGAGCCACTCAGGCGCCCCTGGAACTCATCAATTCTAAGATGCACTGTTTTTCACAGGTTAACGTGAAATTGGGATGCATCTCACAATGAATGGGCCTGATGATGTCACGGGCCCGGAAAGGACCATGGTGCACCTGTCATCACCAGCACCTGCTCAAACGTACAGCACACCAGTAGCAAAGCCCACATGATACACATCGGTGGCCTGGAAGAAAACCCCAGAAACAACAGTGAAGCAATTTCTTAGAAATCAAATCAAGTAGGGTAGAAATGGATGGTGAATTAGGGAATTAGGGAAAATTCCCAAGTGAGTTAAAATCTGGCTAACTCTACATAACTGCCACGCTATGTTAAGAGCCCAGAACCAAGAGCTTTTAGAGCTTTCATTGATTTTTTTTAATGCTGCATCACCAATGGTCTTGATGGAGCAGATGACTTTGAGGAAAACAGGCACCAGTATCTCTGAGTCAAAAAGTAGATACTGAAAAAGTTTTAGGATCACCTTACCCAGTATATTTCATGTGTATTTTCCTTTTTATCTATGCACAAGCATGATATATGGAAAAATCAATGTCTAATTAAGTCTAAAAGAGCTCTTTAAATAAGTAGAAAATAAAAATGTTAACTGATAAAGAAACCATTGTGTCACAGTTCAATGAACAGTGTTTTTTTTTTCCTTGCCCAGCGCTACGTAAAATAATGGTTTTATGGATAATGGCATCTTAGACTTGATAAAAAGAGCTATATTCCAGATGAAGGGTAAAATCAGTGATTATCAAAAGTGAGCAGCAGGAAAGGCGCCTGGGTGGCTCAGTAGGTTGAGCTTAGCTCAGGTCACGATCTTACGGGTCGTGGGTTCGAGCCCCGCATCGGGCTCGCTGGTGTCAGCTTGGAGTCCACACTGGATCCTCTGTCCCCATCGCTCTCTCTGCCCTTCCCCCTCACGCTTGTGTGCGGGCTCGCTCTCTCTCTCTCAAAAATAATAAATAAGCATTAAAAAAAGTGAGCAGTAGGAAAAACAAGGGGGTGGGCTTATCTGCACGAGGGAACAGGGAAGGGCCAGAAAGGGGTCCGGGGCAGTGAAAAGAGGGTAAGCCTTGAGAATGTTACAGAGCAAAAACTCACAATCTAGGTCAGTGGGAAGAGCCCTTAAGGCGGGTAGCGCCAAGACAATGAGAGCTGAAGGCATCCCACACTGGGTCAGCCAGCTCATCATCCAGGACAGCCCAGTGCACCCCACCCCCACCACGAGAGTACCTGATAACAGGGTACTTAGTTTACGGGCATCTCCCAAGTTCAGCCCTCTAATTTACATCAGCTCCTCCAGCTGTCCTGGCGGTTCAGCTAAGACAGGCTGACCCTGCCACTGGAGTGCGTCTGCCTTCTGGAGCAGCACCCTTCCACGGAGAAGGCCCCCGAGGCGGAGATAAACAAACCTCCACAACTGCTCCAAAGTCTGAAGGTCTTTAAAACGACCTTTCCTTCGCCACTGTGTAACCACTCTAGTTGTTTTATCGGGAAACGTGCTGGGGGCACTGCAGGTAAGCCCCTAATGTATATACTGACTCCTCACAAATGCCTGCGGTTTCCCTGAAAAGCAGCTGGCTAATCCCACCTGAGAACCGGGAGGACCTGCAATTTCCCACCGTTCCCCCTCCCTGCAAGGGCTGTAGGCAATGAAGTCACATGTCTGTTTTATTTTCCACAAACACTGCAGACCGTGGAGCCTCGGTGTAACCCACTTTGCCACGAACAACCTCTCCAAAGCCTGGGTGTCGGACAGGCTTCTGACCTCTGGTTTCCTACAGACAGGTTTCCCCGCAGGAATCCACAACCCCCATCACCCATAGCAACCCACAGAGATGACATCACAGTGGAAACCCGGTGCCACAGCAGGTGCAAGGGACCCGCAAGGATTTCTCATTAAATGATCATGCGCGTGGAAAACACTTCCCAATGCACAATGTCATTTACCAGTGTCCTCGACAATGGACAGTGGATGCCGACCCCGTCCACAACTTAGCACTTCGCACAGATGAGCTCAGAAATCCAGCAACGCGACTGTTCCTGAAGCACCTTCTACGGAGTCAGTGAGCTTATTAACCCGCAGGCACCTAGAGCGGACTCGGGTCCGAAGCGGGAGGCGGGGGCCACGGGAGTACGCGTACCACGGTCACTAGGGTGAGTACACACATCACCCAAGACAGCCCTGGAACGAGAAGTCCCAAGATTTCCACGTCACAGAGGAGGTTCCACCAGTCACAGACCAACGGCAACAACCTCGGGAAAGAAAACTAGTTCATGTATTTAGCAGGTAAAAAGAGAGATGACGGGAAGACAGAACACGGATGAAACCAGGGGCTACAGGCGAGGCCAACAGAGCCACAAAGATTCACCGCCTTCGCAGCGTAGGCTCAAACCTGCTCAAACTCACTTCCCCACTGAGCCTAAGGGACTGCCAAGGTAACCACCCCCCCACGCAGTTCTAATCCCGATTCCCTGCTCTTTCTCCCTTGGCACTTAACGCCTGTCTCCACATGGCACATTCATTTACCTCCCATTTCTGTCTAGCTCCCCTGCCCCCCCGAACGAAACTTCCATGAGAACAGGGGCTCTGTTACATTCATCACCCTGTTCCCAAGCACCCAAGCCACACCTGTCACATAGCACGTGCTGAAGAAATACTCCCTGAAAGAAGCAATGAAAGGGAGCAGAGCCCGTCTTCGTTTCCGCTCCTGATGGAGGGGCAGATGACGACTGCGGTGTCCGGGACAGGCAGATGTCCGACGGGCAAGAACATGTAAAACGTCTCACAGCGTAAAAGGGACTTCTCGTTCCAGGGCTGTCTTGGGTGTGAGACCAGCTACCGTGTGCGAGCCTCATCCCACACCGCCGGCCAGCAGGAACGATCTGGGCCCCAAGCTGCAGGCGAACCCCAGGAGACGGGGGCCACAGGAGCACTTCCGGGCTTTTTGGCAGTGCTCTTGTCCTACGGCACCATGTCAGAACGTTCCTGGAAGGCATTTTGGAGCACACGCAGTAATGCTTTGATGGCAGTGTCAGTCCACTTTGCCCTTGTCCCTGACGAAACATGTGTCCTGACGTGGGCTCTGGAAAGGCGGTTCCTCTGTCCCGGCCACGCTGACCATACCTCCTCCCAGAGTCACCAGGCAGGAAAGGGCCAGCCGTGGCAAGACCAGGGGCACTCAGGGCCTGAGAGGCTCTGGGGGTTGGGGGCGGGGAGGACATAGGGAGACCGGCCTGCTTCACGACGTCCCGAGGGGCTCGCCACGTCACGACAGCCAGCTCCCGTAAGACACGGCCTACAGGACTCCTAACTCCCAAACCCAGGAAAGCTGTTTCCACGTAAACCCAGGAGTGAAGAGCCCTATGCCGGGCCTTTTCAGGATTTCCAAATCCAGCCTTCTGGATGAATCACTGCCTTCTACATTCCAACACGCAAAGAAACCCAACAGGTATAAAAGGACACGCTTCCCGGGCCCCTCGTACCGGACATGACAGAATGCAAAAACACCTGGCGTCTCCCCCTACACGCAGGAGGCAGAGTGAGGGCAGGGGACCGACAGGGACGGGGATGTGCTCCACCGGCAAAGGCCCGGTTAGCTCCTCGCGTCTGGTTATTTCCTAGAAATGGGCACATGGTCAAAAAGGAAGAAAGGCAGGGGAGGCTCCCTCAACTGGACAGGTCAACCAGACGGGCATTCCTGGTACCTCCTCACCTGGCGTTAATCCTGAAGGCCAAGCACATGGCCAAAGGCCAGAGAAGCCTCATACCGGTTAAGAGATAGGGTCAAGTGCCACTCTGGGGACCCCAGGGTCCCCTGGAGTGCTCTCTCCAATCCATTCAATCTAATTCTCAAAGGAGTAGAGTCCCGCCCAGCACCCCCTCCACTCAGGGGGGTTTGCTTGTGGAAAGGACCCAGAAGTCGTCCTTAAAACGTTTCACCAAAAGGCAGTGTGGAGACAAGGATCAGAGACAAAAGTGGTGAACAAGGACCCCCAGCAGCAAGAGAAGCAAACGCCCCCTCCTCAAGGGGAAGGGTGACCTTCCAGATGAGGGAGGGGAGACCAGCCCAAGGCTGCCTTGGCTCCAAGCAGCACAGCCACAGGGGTGACACTCAGCACGTGACCCACAGGAGTGACACTCAGCAGGTGTAGCTGCCTGCGACACGGACATGGAGGGGTTCAGAAGGCCCTGCAGTGGCAGGGTTCAATTCTCTGGCTCCTGACCGCAGAGAAGGGATCCCAGGGGAAGACCGGCGGCCAGGGGCTCGGGGGCGCTCGGGGCCTGGACAGGGGCGTGTATTTCACAGCCAGGATGGAAGCAGCCCCCCGTTTTCATCAGTGTGGCACTGCTGGGCAGGCATGTTTCCACGTGGACGTCCACCCAGCTTGTGACTCTCAGCAAGGCCCAGGCAAACCTTCCAGAACAGGATTCACAAGGAGCAGAGCAGAAGAACTGAAAGGGGGAGTGGATTTGGCCAGATTTTCTCCTCCCATGAATTCAGCTGGGCCGGCCGGGAGACCTCACAGGACTTCTACCAGGAATACCCTACCTCCGTCCCAGGCTCTCAGCCCCCACCTGCAAGTCAGCTCCAGCCTGTGCTGGGTCCCCGCCCCAGGCGGCCTCATCAGCACCACTACCAAGCCACCTCCTCCCCTCCGCCCCTCTCCCTACTCCTCCCCTCATCTCCCTCCTCCCCTCCGTCTCCCTCCTCCCCTCCATCTCCCTCTCCTCCTCCATCTCCTCCCCTCTGTCTCCCTCCTCCGCTGTCTCCCTCCTCCCCTCCATCTCCCTCTCCTCCTCCATCTCCCTCTCCTCCCCCTCCTCCTCCCTCTCCCCCTCCCTCTTCTTCTCCACCTTCCTTCTCCCCCTCCTCCTTTCCTCCTTCCCTGTCACCTCTCCTCTCCCCTTCTCCTCCTCCCTCACCTCCCCTCCACCCCTCCTCCTCCCTCCCCCTCCCCCTCTTTCCCTTTCTCCCCTCCATCTCTCTCTCCTCCCTCTCCCCCTCCTCCTCCCCCCCCCTACCTCCCCTCTCCCTCCTCTCCTCCTCCTATCTCCCTCTCCTCCTCCCTCTCCTCCCCCTCCTCCCCTCCATCTCCCCCTCCCCTCCTTCCCTCCCCCTCCTCCCCTCCTCCCCTCCATCCCCCTCCTCCTCCTCCCCTCCATCTCCCTCTCCTCCTCTGTCTCCCCCTCTCCTCTCCATCTCTCTCTCCTCCCCCCTCCTCTTCCTTCCACTAAGCCAACTGTCTCTGGCTTTGCTGGAAGGTAGGCAGCACAGCACTGCCTCCTTTGATACTGACATCTTCCCAGTCTGACTTCCCGCTCCCCAAAGATCTGAAAAATATGAACGGCAGAGTCNCCTCCCCTCCATCTCCCTCTCCTCCTCCCCTTCCCCTCCTCCTCCTCCCCTCCATCTCCCTCTCCTCCTCTGTCTCCCCCTCTCCTCTCCATCTCTCTCTCCTCCCCCCTCCTCTTCCTTCCACTAAGCCAACTGTCTCTGGCTTTGCTGGAAGGTAGGCAGCACAGCACTGCCTCCTTTGATACTGACATCTTCCCAGTCTGACTTCCCGCTCCCCAAAGATCTGAAAAATATGAACGGCAGAGTCAAGATATTATACGTATATATAGATATGGACACAAATACAAATATATAAATATCCCAGGCCAGTCATCTCCCTGACCACCTCCCGATTACCTCTTCCTCTGATCCAAACAGGAACCCACCACTCCCGAGGAGGTTCGGTGGAGAGATTCACGGACTGCCTGAAGCCCGCGCACAACCTCTAACAGCCAGGTCTCCCCAGCCCTACCTCGAGGCCTAAGCAAGCCAACCCTTGGGGACACTGGCTTCTTTCTCGCGTTTGCAAGCGGGCTAAGGGGAGCACACGCTATGTCTGCACTGCTTATCAGTCACGACCTGCCCCCCTCACGTCCCAGCACCCAGAGGCGGCCACAGTGCAGCTCCGGAACAGGGACACCGGACTTTCCCCAGAGAAGAGATGGTATTCCGGTGCCACGATTCTCTGGCTGTAGCGTTTTCCCCCCACTACTGCCCTCCCTACCTCAGCCTCACACCCCCATTTCAAACACAATTCCCTTATATTCCAAACTGATCAGAGGGCTGGCTAGGTGTGCTCCGGGTCCCCTCCTGCGCCTCCACCCACAGACAGGCTCACAGAACCCCCGCCCCCCCCCCCCAACGATAGCACGTGGCAGCCTCATGTTCAATCAAGCCACTCACACTAGAGAAATACTGGCCATCTCCCCTCCTGACAGGAGACACAAGGCTGCGTAGGGCCCCCGGATTCCAGGTGGGGAGTCTCCACTTAGGGACACACTCACAGAGACACTCCGGCGGTTCACACTACCACCACAGAAAGGTGTGTGTGCTCCACCCAAACGTTCCTGCGGGCTGCCCACAGGCGGGGACCCCGCTCTGACAGCACAGCTGGCCGCGAGAGAGCTGGCATGTCCTGACCCCTTCCCAAGAAGGCAGTCCTTAATGTCACTCAAGGCTCTTTTAGTACAAGCCCGAAGGAACCAAACAAATCAATCTCGGAGGAATGGGTAAAGGATGAGAGCAAAAAATAAAACCGTCAACGATTTTCCAGAGAGCAAGAAGACACTTAAGATTCCTGGTTCACTGTATTTTCAAGGAGTCATTTGCAGTTTTTCCTTTTCCTTATTCCCCCAACCCCCCCCAAAACCATTCATTCGGTGTCTACTATTTCTCAACACCTACTAATAGCATTTAGCTCTCTGCCAACCCTTAGAGGTGAAAATGGCTATCCCCACTGTATAGATGAGAAACAGAGGGTCAGAGAGTTTCAGTAAATTAGTAACGGTCACTAAGCAGAAGCGGGTCAAGAGCTAGGGTCCCTCAGTGCCAATAACTGAACTCACGTCGTTCCTCTTCTTGTGAATGTCCACTCCCCGGCTCAAAACACATTACTGTCTCCCTGTGATCAGCCACATTAAGAGCCAGCAAGACAGGGGCACCTGGGTGGCTTAGTCGGTTAAGCGCCCGACTTTCGCTTGGGTCATGATCTCGCAGTTCGTGGGTTCGAGTCCCGCGTCGGGCTCTGTGCTCACTGCCAGCTCAGAGCTGGAGCCTGTTTCAGAGTCTGTGTCTCCCTCTCTCTCTGACCCTCCCCTGCTCACGCTGTCTCTCTCTCTCTCTCTCTCCTAGGAATAAATTTAAAAAAAAATTAAAAAATTTAAAAAAAAAAAAAAAAAGAGAGCCAGCAAGACAATTTGGCACACGAGGCCCTCTACAGTCTAGTCCCTAACTCCAGTTTCACACCTTACTGTCCCCTTCAGCGTGTACCATGCTCACCCACTGCACAGGCTCGCCCCCAAAGTCCTCTCCCCTTGAGCCCCCAGGGCCAGGGCTGCAGCATCTGGAAGCATCAAGGAAGGCTGGTGGGAAGTAAACAGGCTGCCCAGACTCTCCGTCATGCCCTTCAGCTAATGCTTTCCCTTCCCTCCTGAGGATGTGAGCAGCACAGACCAGAGGTCTCAGGCTCCACGTGCTCTTAGTTGCGACCAACTTCCATATTGGGAAATGCTTCCCTTTCCATCCTCAATGGCCACACTTTACCCAGAGGCAGGTGTGCGTTTCAACAGAAATCCCTTCTTCTCTTCTACGGCCTCACCCACTGCCGACATGCCAAGGCCCCGAGGGGCAGACTTCACATGATTAAAATTGTAAAGCATTTAAGATGCTCACAGGAAAGACATCCTTGAAGTGCCAATTATTCATTTAGGGGGAAAAGAGCAAACTCTGGGAGGAGTGATCTACATAAATGGAAAGGAAATCATTTTAAACAATATTACGCAGAAACTGATTGACCTCGCACCCAGCCTGCCTCAGTGCTGAGTCCCAAACGGCGTGGCAATGCCCAGGATGTATTTGAGCACCTGCTCGTCTTCACTTTGTTAGATCTGCAATCAGGTGAGGAGGCTTTCTGGGTTTCGCCCAATGGAGAATAGCGGTCCTGGTATGAGTTATTTAACAGGCAGGGCACACGGTGACAAGCCCGGGCAGGGGTGCTGCTTCAGCAGAAACACCAGGCAGGCTCCCATCAGACAATCCCCCAAAGTCCCATACTGAAGCCTGGTACCCCGTGCAAATCATCAGGGCCGAGAGAGACTCGTTAAACACAGAACGAGAGCGTGGACTTGCAGAGTATGAAGCAAGAGAAGAAACATTCATTCCACTTGCACCCAAAAACTATAGCTAGTATTTAAATTCTGTCTTGCATACCACATTATCTTTTTTATGTCCATACTTTACAAGCTAAAAAAAATCTACATATTTCCTTTTATCATAAGGATGAACTAAATTTGAAGAGAGACTTTTTCACCTTTAGATCCATGGAAACAATTCAGGAGGGAGGAAGACTACATAGTTTTATACTCTAGGTTAGGAAATTCACGACAGTGGGGTTTTCTATTCAGATCCTCCAGGACAGTCTCAGGGCTCGGACTTTTACACCAGCGTCCACAACACTAAGTTAATGAGTTTTTTACTGTGATTTCAAAAGTGACTGCATTTACACACCCCTTCCTCAACAGACAAATCACTAAACCATTCTAAGGGCCAGGATTAAATTTTATGGTTCGTTGACAGAAAGAATAGAATCCCAAATCACCAATCCATGTATAATTGTTCGTTTCCCACGCATTCTTTCCTACCTGATCTCTTCCCTTCCACCAGGTCACAAAGGTTCTTAGATTTCTTTTTCTTTTAATGAAGGATACCACTTCAGAGGCTAACAGAGAAGATCCCCCCAAAAACCCGCAGCTGAAGCCCACAGGGGACATGTCAGGTTCTCTGAATGTCAAGGCCACACGGTTGCTGTTTCTAATCACAAGATCTAATGAAAGTGGCAAGCCAGGGAGAAGAGAAATACCAGTGCGGTTTATTTGTTTGTTTTCCTTTCGCGTGAAAGGCAGAAGGCTCTGTCGGGTCACACCAGCCCACCGGGCCATGCATACCTGCCAAGACCTGGTTTACTGCACAGCAAAAAGTTTTCAAAATAATTCCAGGTTAGCGCGAGCACAGTTTTCAAAGGGCCACACTGCTCCTGTTGGATATGCTCCACTCTTTACCCCCCAAGAATAAACGAGAGCCTTGGGGTACGTATACAGCAGTCCAGTTGCCCGTATTACAAAAAGAATCGGGCTAAAAGCACACTGTTTGTTACGTCAGAACTATACTAGGCCAATTCAGCACCCCGAAAGACTTTTCATTTCTGCTCCCTCAGACAAAGCAACCCCACGCAATTTCCCAAGATTCAAACAAGATACATATCTCCATCTAATACCTTCAGGTGAGAATGAATTAATCAATCAATCAAACAAACAAACAAAGAAGGAGGGAAACCTCTGAAGCAGTCAAACCCCATTGCGGACTTTGATGGTCTGACTTCACGGCTAAAAAAAAGTCCGTTCAACACAGTCAGTCCCGTTTAACAGAGTGAGTCCCGTTTGGCTTGTTCCAGAATACCATTCCCTGGTACACCAACCCGTGGTCCACCTCTGGGTCCACCAAACATCACAGCAATGAGGGTTCCAGTATTGCGGAAAATATGCTGCTGCTTTCAAAGCCTATCAGACACCAAACACCACAACCCTGCCGGCAGCACGGCCATGGCCAAAGCCCTCCTCTCCGTGCCGTCGGGGCTCCTCTGGCCGCCTGATTCCCACCCGGATACGCTGGGCTGTCCAGAGTGGCGTACACGGTCTCCACAGCCTAACCGCCCGGCCCTTGAGAGCCTGCCCAAAGCACCCACAGAACAGGGACACCATCCCCGCGGAACCGGGCAGCGCGGGAGGCCACGTCCGGGTCGCGCGCGAGGGCTGAGTCCGGCAGAAGCCAAAGCCGGGGCCGAGGTGGGAAGGTCGGGGGCGGGGGTGTCGGTGGCCCGCCGCACTCGGGGCGCAGAGGCGCGGGGGCCCTCCGCGGACACCCGCCCGTGATCTGTTTTATCCCGCACGGGGCCGGCTGCGCCCCCCACTCCCAGAGGTAAATGGCAGCGAAAGGGGCAGAGACCCCCGAGCGGCACCCCCCAAACACTCCCCGCCGCGGGGTGACGAGGAAAGGGGTGACGATCTGCAGCGGCTCCTATCAAACGCATGAAAAGAAACTTGGACTCCTCTCTCCCGCACATGACACTTTGGAAAGGCAGCCGCCGCTCCCTCCCCTCCTCCCACCCCCTTTTGTGTGTCCCACACCCCCGCCGCTAAACTTCCCACCGCAGGGGACGGTGCTCCCGGCGGCCGGACAGGACTCAACTTCAATTACGTGTGGCAGACGGAGGGGGACGTCTACGGAGGGGGCCGGGGGGCGACGAGAAAGGCGTCTGGGGGCCCCCAGCCCTGCGGGGCCGCGCAGGGTTGCCCTCTCCGGAGTAGGGCGAGCGCAGAGGGGCCGGGTGCGCCCCCTGCCCCGGGGGACTCGGCCGGGAGGCCCGGGGCGGGGAGCGGGGGCCCGAGCGGAGGTCGGGACCGAGGAGAGCCGGAGGGGCGGGAGGCCCCCTCGTTGCCCCGCAGCCACGTCCGAACAGGGGGTCCGCAGCCGGGCGGGGGGCGCGTCGGCGCGGGAGGGGCCGGCGGAGGAAAGGGAGTCGGGGGCTTGGGATGGGAGGGGGGGGGGCTGGTGCCGGGCCCGGGCAGGGCGCCCCACTCACCTTCCTGCCGGCGCCGCCGCCCGCGCCCGCGGCCAGCGCGGAGCCGCCCCCCGAGTACATGTAGTAGGCGATGCCCAGCACCCACAGGAAGGCGAAGCAGAGCAGCATCCGCGAGCGCCGCCGCATTCTCCCCTCTCGGCCGCCGGCCGCGGCCGCCGCTGCTCGCGAGTGCTGCCTGGGGCCGGCGCGGGCGGGGAGCGGGCCGGGGGAGGAGCGGAGGAAGGGGAAGGGCGCGGCGGCGGCTCCTCCTCCGGCGCGGGCTGCTGCTCGGCCGCGGCGGAGGCGGCGCGCGCTCGGCGCCCGAGCTCCGCCCCGGGCCCGGGAGCGCGGCGCGGCGCCGAGCAGGAAGCGGCGGCCTCGGAGGCGGCGAGCGGGTCAGGGAGCAAAGGGCGACCAATCGGCGGCGGCTGCGGAGGCCGGGGTGCGGGCCGGAGGAGGGGATTACCGCGTCTCCATGGCTGCAGCACGCTGGGCTCGGCCGGGGAGGGCCTCCGCGGGCCCGGCCTCGGCGCCGCCCCGCCCGGGCCGCCGCCCCGCCTCCTCTGCGTCCTCCCCGCCGCTGCCCTCGGCGCCCCCGTGAGTGACAGGTGGCTGCCCGGGACCGGGCGGAGCGCGCGCACACGTGCGCACACACACGTGCACACGCAGCGGGGACGCCGTCGGTCGCTGCTGCCTGGCGCCGCCCCCCCCCCCAGGCTGTCACCCCTCCGGTCCTGGGGCTTTGGGACCTCCTCAGACCCCTTAACAGGCTCGCTCTTACCGCTGGCCGGCCCACCTGAGTTTTTTGGTGCAAACCCGCCTCCCGGACCCGACTTTGCGGCTGCTCGCTGCAGTTTTCTTACTAATCTTGCAGCAGAATATCCCCGACCCCCAGGTGTCAATTTTATGTATTTACTTAGTCAGAGGTGGGGCGGAGGGGGCGGGAGCTAGAGGTCGAATAAGAGAGGTCAGTGGAACATTTTTTCCGAGGGTGGACAGCGCTTGAATAGCAGGATTATTTTGTTTTCTTTTGTTGTTAATAACCATGAAGGAGGAAGAAGGGAAGCAATATATATATAATATATATGTATGTATATATATTATATATGTAATATATATTAAATATAATATATAGTAAATCTTTTCTTTTTCATTTGCTGCTTTCTTAAAAGAGGAAAGGAGAGTTACCACATCAACATCTTAGGAAGACTCTTCCGTCTTGTAATCGAATCTCTGTCACCTTGACGATGCCCTTGCAACCCGCGAAGTTTCCCGTGCTCCCAGGAAAGAGAAATGTTACTTGGCACTCGATACTTCAAAAGTGATTTGGGGACTACCCAGTCTGGCGGTTAATGGCAGCTGCCCGAATCTGAATCTCTAACTCACATCTTCAGCAAAATACAAACACAAACAAGCCGTCAGCGCACCTTGGAGAGGGAATGCCGTGATCTGAACTTCTAATTACTTCTTAAGTAGAAGAAAGAAAAGACATCAAATTCTGCCAGAGCTCCCTCCACTGTTGCCAAGGACTTAAGTGAAGTCCAGACTTAAATCCTTTACAAAGAGAAAGTCCAACACCAAGCACTAAAAACTGAACACAGGTCGGGTACTTAACAGGGAAGAGGCTTGAAAGAGAATGGGACAGAAGGTGGCCACCTTAAAGAAGCCTTGCTTCTGGGAAAAGTCAAATAAAGAAAGAAAGGGTAATGCCCTTTGGAGGCCTGGCAGTGAAGGGAAAGAAGGAGTAAAAGGGGCAAATTGAAGATCCTGCAGAAATAAAAGACAGCCAGTCCCTCCCCCAGCCCCTGTTATCTATTAAAAACTGCACTTCACTGCTCAGATAGAAGAGAACACTCCTGAACTAGGAGCCCTGTGTCAAAATTCCTAGTAACAGAATAACATCAAGTCAACTGCATACACAGCCACCACAAAAAGAAAACAAAAAATTAATTGCATTTCTTATGATGAAAAAATGAATCCTAACATTTTCAGCTGATGAAAACACACACACACACACACACACACACACACACACACGAAACCATGAAGTGGGAAGAATTGTTAACACCATACATCAAACTACCAAACTGAGCAAGGTATCATGTATTTGGACTCACACGTGTCTGCACACATGCATACATCTATACAACTACAACCCAAAATTCAAAAACTAAGAAAAAAATTAGGAAGAAATGCAAGCAAAGTTGACCAATTCAGGAAAGAAACTGAAAATAAGATAAAACTATCCAAGAAGCAAAGAATAATTACAAAATGTCCAAGGAAGAACATAGTCAAAAATATGTAAAAGGACACTGAGGAATGGCAAGAAAATAATCAAGAAGTTAAAAAGGAGATAAAGAAGTGAAAAGTGTTCAGAGATAAGTGGTGGAAACGAAAGTCAGGAAAGAAGAACCAAAATACATATAACTGGAGTCCTCAAAGTAGAAACGCCAGTGAGACTGAATATTAAAACTGCAATCCCAGATGTCTTGTTCAACATGGTAACTCTATTATAATAGATACAGGGTAACCCTGGTGTATGATATATTTGAAAGTTATTGAGTGGGTCCTAAGAGTTCTCATTACAAGGGAAAAAACATTTTTTCTTTTTTGTATTCATATCTCATATGGATACATATGATGGGTATTAACTAAACTTTATTGTGGTAATCATTTCACAATATATGTTAGTCAAATCATTATGCGGTGTCACTTATACAGTACATCAATTATAAAATTAAAGATGGGGTAAAGCTATAATCTTAGGAAAGAATTCAGAAATAAAAGAGCATTTGAATTACATGTCAAAAATGACTTCCATGTACCTTGGGAAACTGTGCTGGGATAATCGGCTCCAAACATATCTCAGTAAAATGATTAGATTTTAAAGGCAACAAGCTCAGGTTACTTGTAGAGTAATACAGTGCAAAGCAACATGGAGCAACATTTACAAGAAACTCAACACAAGAAAATGCCAGCCAATGACTTTTGTGTCCAGCTCCAGACAGATCAGAACTGAGTGCAAAAATCCAGAGACCATTATATGCCTTTCCTGGAGAATGAGCTTCCCCTAACCAAGAGAAAATGGAGGAAATCGCAAAATGACTGATGGGGAGCATTTATATATGTTATTGGTAGAAGAATAGTATGTTCATATTATACTTTCTGATTAAGTAAAACAGGTGCCACTAAAGGAATTGAAGGGGGAGAGAAAAGGGAAAACAAAATCCTATCATTGTCTTTTAAATAGATAATAGATAGAAGTCACACAATGATAGTCACATAATGATCTCATCTATGTGAGACCTAAAATGAATAGGCCAGATGCTACAAGGTTAAGATATGGGTGCCTGGGTGGCTTAGTCAGTTAAGCATTGTGAGCTCAAGCCCCACATCCAGGCTCTCTGTTATCGGCTTGGAGCCTGCTTTGGATCCTCTGCCCCTCCTCTGCTCATTCTCTCTCTCTCAAAATACATAAATAAACTTTTAAAAAGGTTAAGAAACAAAGGAAGGAACTAAGGGTGATATAAAAATGAAAAACTTAACCACAAAGCAAAATGTAAATATCCCCAAGTATTGGAAACCCTATCTAAAACCCTAAGAGAAAAAAAATTTTAAGCAGCACAGAATACATATTAGATAATGAAACAAAAAACAAAACCCACAGTAAGTATGGTACAATACATGCAGTAATTGTAAAAGAAATAATATGACAGAATTGAAACCAAACCATATCACTATTATCATTTCCAAACAGGCTTAATTTGCCTATTAAAAAAAATTCAAATGTGTTCATAAAAGAAAACCCAAATCTAGAAAGAGCAGGAGCTGTGATCCTAATATCAAAGTTGAACAAAAAACACCAAGTGAAACAAAGAAGGACACTTTATGGTCAAAACTTCAAGTCCCAATGAAGGTGTATCAGTTATATATCAGTTAGGATATACAGTTATTGATCTGAGAAGTAAAACCATTATTAGTGTTCTAGAATAAGATACATGATAGGGTGTAAACTTTGTACAATGTAGGGCACAGAAAAAAAATCAATGGAGGTCTGTTTCCATTGTGGCAACAGGTGTAAAGTCACTGTAATTTGCACACGTGGCAGTCAAAAAAGAAAAAAAAAGCTAGATGTGGCGGTCTGAAGTCATTGAAGTGACAGAAGCTTGAGGATGTGATGTCAAGGAAATAAACCAGTCACAGAAGCATAAATACTATATGATTCCACTGATATGAGGTACTCGGAGTAGTAAAATTCATAAGTACAGTTTCAGTTGGGGAAGATGAACAAACTCTGGAGATGGAAAGGGCTGATGCGTAGCACATAGTGTGAATCTACTTAATGCCACTCAACTGCACACTTATAAATGGTTCAAATGGGAAATCTCGTGTTATGTGTATTTTTCCTCAATTAAGAAAATGACATGACAAATTAGGCAGAATTTGTTCCACACACATCATAGATGTGGGGATAAAGGAGAAAAATCTGGTATATAAAGAACTTAAGGGGCGCCTGGGTGGCTTAGTCGGTTAAGCATCCGACTTTTGCTTAGGTCATAATCTCGCAGTTCGTGGGTTCGAGCCCCGCGTCGGGCTCTGTGCTGACTGCCAGCTCAGAGCCTGGAGTCTGTTTCAGAGTCTGTGACTCCCTCTCTCTCTGACCCTCCCCTGCTCATGTGTCTCTCTCTCTCTCTCCTAGAAATAAATAAAACATTAAAAAAAATTTTATAAAAAAAAAGAACTTAAATATTGAGATGGGCAGAACACATAATAAGACAACGCATGGTAAAGATCTTAAGAATCTGTAAACATACGAAAAGATGTTAAACTTCACTCATAATGGAGTTGCAAATTAAAACTACAGAAAAACTATCCACGACCCTCCCACCCCACCCCACCCCGGGACAAATTGGCAAAAATTCAAAAGCTTAAGAAAATGGACTAAAAGAAAGACTAAGGAAGACTTCTGAGAACAGATATGGGTATGTTATATTTAGTAATGTATTACAGGGGCATCTGGGTGGCTCAGTCAGTTAAGTGTCTTACTCTTGGTTTCGGCTCAGGTCATGATCTCACCGTTTATGAGTTTGAGCCCCTCTTCAGACTCTTTGCTTACAGTGCAGAGGCTGCTTGGGAATCTCTCTCTCCGTCTCTCTCTGCTCCTCACCCCCCCCTTAAATAATAATCTTTTAAAAATAATATTTTATATTATATATTATACTTAA